ATTTCGAATGGAGCTTACAATATCTTTAGCCACATCAACTTGTCGACTGAATACTTTTTGACTGTTGCCATGACTGCAATCAATCATTATGCGAGTAGGTAATTTTGCTGCCTCTAACTTTTGAGCCACTTCTTGAACGTTTTCAGCCGAATAATTTGGCCCTTTGGCACCTCCTCTTAGGATAACGTGGCAGCAATCATTACCCTAATTTACAAATCATAACAAATTAATTTAAAAATATAAAAATCTTTCCTTTTAAGCTTAAGATAATTACATCTGTTGCTACAATTGCGCTTAATCCTTGTTTGGTGACCGATAAAAAGTGATGACCGCTGCCAGCAGCCTTTATGGCATCGACAGCGATTGCTATGTTTCCATCAGTTCCTATAAGGGAAATTTTTTTTAAAAAAAGGTATTTTTAAAATTTTTCATAATTTGTTTTCTCTCCTTTTTTATGAAGGTTGGTGAGATGAATTAGTTAATATACCATTTTTGAAACCAACCGGGACAGATAAACCGGAGGCAAGTTCACGATGAACTTGAGATTCTGTTGTTCTAGCACCAATTGCTCCTTGGAGGAAAATCGGAATTTAATATAAGTAAAAGAAAAAAAACATTCGAATCTGGTCATTCAACTCACCCCAAGAAACCAAATCTGCTAAGTATTGAGGGGTAATTGTGTCAAGAAATTCACATCCACATGGAACACCCATTTGATTCTAATTTATTGCAAAAAATTAATAAAGATGTCAATCACATGATATTTTAAAAGCCACAGTGTAAGAGCAACATGAATATAACGCGTACTATTTCCAGCAATAGGTTGCGGGCAATACGTAATCCTTTATTAATTTGGAAGCTGTCAAAATTTTTAAATCAACGTAACAGTTTAGTTTAAAATTTAAATTAAACATTCTTAATATAAGTTTGTTAATCACTTGTACCTATTGTTTAAATGAGGATCATTGATTAATCCTTTCCAACCTACTGTGGTTCTTGGTTTTTCAAAATAAACTCGCATGATGATAAAAAGGTCATCACTTGCTTCGGAAGCATAAGCTTTTAACCTTCCGGCTAATATGCGAAAATGGAAAAATTAGTTTACCATTGCATTGAAATATTCACTAATTGTAATAAGATAGATTTAATATGGACCGTATTCAATGGCAGCTTTGACATCGTGAACGGAACAAGGTCCAACGATTACAAGCAGTCTATCGTCTTGCCCTTTTATAACCTTCTCGGCATTTGCACGACCGATTATGACACTTTGAGCTGCTTGTAAAGTCAATGGAGAGTCTTCCATCAAAATTTGAGGTGGTATGAGAGGCTTAATTTGTTTAATACGTTTATCATCGAGCTCATTGAGAGCTAAAGGACAAAAATAAGATTTCCATAAATTAGATAAATTGAAACATTCTTTATTTTAAAGAAAAGTTAAATTTCTTCACACACCCTCACGAAAAATTAGATTATTTGGCATATTTATTCTTTTTATTCTTTTTTAAAAGTAAAAACGAAAAAAATTTTCTTTATTTTTTTTTTTAATCAAAGTGGCAGTGTCATCAGTTAAATACAAATTTTTTTATGAGATTATCAGTAATTTCGAGTATGAACCAAAATTAGTCATCATGTGTGGCATAGATGTATCGCCATTTCAAGAAAATCACATTACCCTATTTTGGTTAGATCCTTAAACCTTTTAAACTTTGAATGGAGAAGCGTTATTTCAAATCGCATTGTTCAAGTACTATGATCATTCTGAATTTTAGTATGATGGTTATGTCTCAGCCAATTAGAATTTTTGCTTTTTTTTTTTTTTTCGTAAACCAAAAAATTCATCGATTTTCTTTCTTTTTTTCATTAGGGTCGCGTTTAGAACATTATTTTATTTTTCATAATGGTATTTTATTATTTTATTATTATTATAAAATCTTGTTGATTTACAATTATTACACGTTTAATAGTTTTTATATTTAATACTTTGAAATTTGATCTATATAAAATTTGAACCGGAAAAACTTAACAGTTGCCACTTTCTTTGTTAAACACAGCCCAAGGGCATCCTATGGTATGTAATTTTTAATTTATCATCAATTAAACTAGTGGTCTAATTGAGCGATTCATTCTTCTTTTTTTTTTTAATTAGTTGGTAGAATTAAAAAATGGAGAAACTTTTAATGGACATTTAGTAAATTGTGATAATTGGATGAATTTAACTTTACGGGAAGTTATACAAACTTCTCCGGTAAGAATATTTTACTGTAATCCTTTGAAATCATCTCATGTTTGAACTCGATTCAATTAATCGATTTATTCGCATAGGAAGGAGATAGGTTTTGGCGATTACCTGAATGTTATATCAGAGGGAACACGGTAATCATTAATAAAAATTTTTTATTTAAGTATGTAATTTTCCGTGTTAATCTCTTTCTTTTTATAAAAATTAGATTAAATACTTACGTGTACCAGATGAGGTATGTGATCTTTTTGTAATTGATTTAGAAATTTTTGTTTTAGAAAATTATAAATTTTTTTTTATTGTAGATTATAGAGATGGTAAAGGAAGATGCCATACGTCAAAGGCAAGCGGCAAGCGGTGGAAATCGAGGGCGTAAGTAATTCTTATCAATCGAATGCCGTCCTGTTATTCAAATTTGATCTTTTATTGATAAATTTTCCTTGATGATGTATAATTAACAGGTGGAAGTTCTCGTGGTGGCAATATTGGACGAGGTTCGCTCCTTTATTTGCCTTTATTTTCCTTCCTTTTTAAAACTAAATTAATAATTACGTTTTATAGGAGGAAGCAGAGGCGGAAGCTCTAGTGGACGTGGAGGTAGTGGTGGCAGTGGCGGTGGCGGTGGAAGAGGAAAATCCAAGACCCGTTAATGGGTTCGATCGATTCTTTAATGTTTTATAAGAAATTTAATTTTCATAATAATAACTCATTCGGCATTATACACATATCACAAGGAACTTAAATTTATAATAATTAACATAGATTTATACAAGGCAAGATAAATGACGCAACAAATATTTGTTGAACAAAGTACCTTTAATTAAATTTTGTATTAATTCTAATAAAACTTGAAGAAAAAAAAAAAAAGAATAACCTCATATAATAGATATGGAATGTTGAAAATTTTCGAGGTAAATCTGCCAAATTTTAATAGTTACCCTTTTGAGTAAAGTCGTCAAAGTTTAAAAAAGTTGATAAATAGAATATAAAATTAAAATTATAACTAATGAGAGCCATGGTAAAGGGTTAAACAAAGATGAAGGAGGAACTGTCACTAATTGTAAGAGAATCTCTTCAAGAGTACTAACGAAGGCTTCCAAGGAAAATAATTTTTGAACATGTTTTCTTCCTTGCTCACCCATATAATCACGATCAGATTTACCACTAATAAACGAAGCGATGGCCTCTGAAAATGCCATGGGAGTAGATGAACAAAGGAATCCCGTAACGCGATCCTTTACTGTTTCCTTTGGGCCACCGTTGTTAACTGCTATAACTGGTAAACGAGCATACATAGCTTCTACAGGCACAATTCCAAAATGTTCATTTGATGGAGTATATAAAAGACATAATGCTCTTGAAAGTAAAAAAGTTCGCTGAGTATCATTAAAAGAACATAAGAAAATAACTTGAGCGTTTTCTGGTGGTAATTTGGTTGAACCTGGCATTAATGTATAAGTCATCAATCCTAATTGCAATGCCTTTTGATTTAACTCTTTATGATGATTCAAATTTTCTTGAACGCGATGATCATATCCACCAGCAATTATTAATCGTAAATTATTAAATTGATCGCATGAAGCTAAATTATCGTCGCGTAATTTTGCAAAAGCGTAGATAGCAAGCGCGATATTCTTTTTCCTCTCAAATCGATTAATCGATAGTATAAATTTTTTCGTCCTTAAAAATATGAATAGTGGGATTATTTTCATCTCTATTAAAAAAAAAAAAAAATTTTTAATGATACTTACGTTTCTAATATTTTAATGGACATATCTTCCAAATCTACTTTCTTATCATATGAATCGAAATATATTCCTGGATAAAGAACCCGCGGTACATGTTTTATACGAGGAAACGATTCTCGAAAGATATTCGCAGTGAAATTGCTATTAACAACTACGCAATCCGCCATACCTAATATTTTAAAGTCATAATACATTATATATCTAATAAACCTTAAATATGCAAAATAAAATAAATTAAACTCACCAGTTGTCAGTTCCTCCATAAGATCAACGGGATACCTATAAATTTTTTTCAGTATTGATTCCCTTTTTGTTAATAATTTATCTGGAAAATGACAATAAAATAAAATCTATTTAAAAGAATTAAAAGAACGGTGAAACAAAGTTTTTGGGTGAACTTAGGGAAAATGATTAAAATTATCATACCTTTGCACCAGTTAACCTTAATAATGGTACACTTGCAGATAATTGATCCACAAATATAACATCATATTTTGTTCCATCCCAAAATATCATCGAAAGGGTTAAATGAATTTGTCTTAATATAGCACAAATGATATAGAAGGATCCAAAGAAAGTACGTGGTATAATATAATTTCCGCGTACTCGGACATCAAGTGTACCATCTTTAGTTTCCTTAAAACAATGTGTTGGATCGTGGTGAGAAGTGTATATAACGATTTTATGACCTTTCGTTTGTAAACCAGTAGCCGCGTCAACTACCAATCGTTCTGCACCACCTATATGGTATTTTACAATAAATTAAAAAAAAAAGCAAAAGTTATACGAAAGCAAAGTCATGTACAGGGAATATGTTACCTATGCCAAGGTCTGGATGTACAAAAGCCACATTTAAGACGTGTGAAGAAGTCATTGTGAAAAAAAAAAATTGGGAAAATGACGCGAGGTAACTCGTAGAAATCAAACAAACTGCCGTGTAACTTCAATACGTTTGCAGATCTGGATAACCATTCACCGAAATCGATTTCACCACATTTAAAACTTCTACAATGTCGCATAGGGTAATATATGTTTTCATTTCTATCTTGTTTTATTTTTACATACATTCTTATTTATTTCCCCCTTTCTTACTTTCTTCTTCTTTCTTTATCCCTCCGTTTATATCAACTTTTTTTTTTTAAATAGAATCCCGCAAATCAAATTTACTTTCGCGTCAAACGCCATAAAACCACTATATTTCTACAAGCTAAGATAACTGATAAGATACTGACTTTAAAGAAAAATATTATAAAAGTATTAGGAGATTCTGAAAAAAGAGACCCAAAAAAATTACAATTACTGATATCTACTGATGATTCAGAGTCACAACTTTCTTATTCTATTTTGGATAAAGACGAAGATACCGTTAATCAGTTAGGACTAAAGGATGAACAGATTTTATTTTTATGTTTTTGGGATGATAACTTAGGTATGTTATAATGAAAGTCTTTGCTGATTTTAATTGTAAAAGCAATGAGCTTGTATTCATTAAATGATTTCAATATAAAAGATCAATGGGAGAACGTTGCTGTGGAATATCCGGATCCTTATGATGAAGTTGTTGAGGAAGATGAACCGATGGAAGATGATGATGAGATAAATGAAAAGAATGATTTGGAAACTTTATCATTAGAAGATGGAAAAGGAAAAGCCAGGGCTTAAACTAAATGTCGGACGAAATAATTCATGTTTCGACCGATTTTTCTTGTAAAAGAATTTGTCATAATAATAATTTATTGAAAGAGACTCCAAGGAAAATATATCATCACCAACAAGATAATTATTTTAATTCAAATTTATTATGGTACAAATTGTTGTTTTTATTCGTAAATTAAAGAGGAAAAATGTATTGAAACAATTTATTTTTAACAGAAATCTTTTTTTTTTTTTTTCCGATCTCTTGATTTATTAAATATAAAATATTAGAAATTGTTTTTACAAAGGACGCGAAATTATCAATCTGATTTATTTATGTATGTGTTACGCAAAGTACAGGATTTATAACCAATAAAACGTTAAAATCATTTTTCATTCCAAAAAAAAAATTTATATAAATCATGGAAAAATTTTACCTATAAAAATAATAATTGTTTCTTACTGTTTCGAGTTCCATTTATTATTATGCCTTCAGCAATGGGTTCTAAACCAGTTATTATCGGTCTAAGGATAGGTCAAAGTTATTCTAGCATTGCGATTATCAATAAGGTAATATTTTTATTTAAATTAAAAAGGTTAATTAAATTTTAAAAAGAATATTTCGATTTATTATAAAAATTTATTCATTTGTTCAAGGACGAAAGAGCAGATTGTATTGCTAATGAGGATGGAGAACGTCAGATACCTACAATGGTAGCGTTTTCTGGGGATGAAGAAGTAAGTTTACCAGGAATAATTTATAAATCGAATCATAATACAATCCTTATAATTTCATTGTAAAATCGAATTCATTCCTGTAAGCTTACAGGAACTCAAGCTAAAGTACAATTATTAAGTAATTCAAAAAACACTATTACCCAATTTCGCAATTTTATTGGGAAGAGGTACGTTTTATTTTTAAAAATTACTTTTAAATTTGTTTAAAGAAAAAGGTTGTCAATGCATTAAAACTCTCTTTTTTTTTTTTTTTTTACATAAAGTTATGAGGAATGTAAATCTATAGCAAGTACGGGTACGGCGAAACTAGTTGATAAAGATGGACAGGCAGCATATCAAGTAGAATTTAAAGAAGAAGAAACAATAGTAACAGCACAAGAAGCATGCACAAAGTTTATCGCGAGTTTAAGAGAAAGTGCGGAAAATTTTTTAGGTCAATCAGTTATGGGAGCCGTACTTGCAATTCCAACTTATTTTGATGAAGAACAAAAAAATTCATTAAGGATTGCAACTGAAAAGGCTGGGTTAAGAGTAATGCAATTAATTAATGAACCAAGTGCGGCAGCATTAGCGTATGAAATAGGAAATGTTGTAATCAGTGGACAAAATCCAATTACTACGAATAAATATAATGATAGAATTGATGTGATTGTGGACTTGGGGTCCGATAGTTTAGATGTTTCAGTAATGTCGGTTAGATCAGGAATGTATACGATATTGGGAACAACCCATGATCCTGATCTTGGTGGTGCTGCTTTCGATGAGTTATTGGCAAAGCATTTTGCTAATGAATTTAAAAGAAAAACCAAAATTGATGTTATGGATAATAAAAGGTCATTAGTTAAACTGAGAAATGCTGTCGAAATAACAAAGAAGACCTTATCTTCTAGTTCAACATCTACGTGTTCTGTCGAGTCTTTAGCTGAAGGTATTGACTTTCATGGAACTATAAATAGGACAAGATTTGAAATCATGGCAAATAAATTATTTTCCAGAACCTTGGAAATTATTTCTGAAGCATTAAAAAATAATGATTTAGAACCTCAATCGATTGATGAGGTAAGATTTGTAAATCCTCAAAGGGGGGTTTTTTTTTTTAAAAAAAAAAGAAGACTTCCTTAACTGACTTTTCTTCCTTTTGATTTTTAAAGGTAATTCTTGTTGGAGGCGCTTCACGTATTCCAAAACTTCAATCGAAAATACGTGATATGTTTGCAAACTCCTCTACATTAATTCGTCAAGATTTTGAACCTGATGAAGTTGTAGCATATGGTTGTGCGTTCCAAGGTTCATTAATTTCAACCTTTGCAGATCAATTAATTAATGATAGTTTTGACACTTCAATCACCTTAGTACCACATTTATTAAAATCAATTGGGATTTTAAATGCTAAAAAAGAATTTATAACATTAATACCAGAAAATACTCCTTTACCTGTTCGTCGTAATTTTACCTTTTCAAATTATTTAGAGAATCAAAAAGAAATATATATTGCTATTTGGGAAGGTGTACATCAACATCCGGAGGAAGAAAAGAAAGATGAGGAAGAAAATAAGAATGAAAATGAAAATGAGGTGAAAGAAGGTGAAATGAAAGCACAATATCCTATAACTGTGGCAGATAAATTATTGGCTGAAATGGTTTTAAAAGATTTGCCAGAAAAAAAAGTTAATGAATTAAAAGTTCATATTACTATTGAGGTCGATATGAATAGTAAATGTTTTATCACGGCAACAGAATTCATTTCTGATAAAAAATTAGAAATTGAAATTGATGGAAACACAAAATAAAGAAAATGATTTTTTCTTTCAAAAAAAAAAAAAAAAAAAAAGGAAGAAAGAAACAAACCTTTGAATTAATAATTTATAGAGAATTAAGAATTCCTGATCGGGTAATTTTTTTTTTTTTTTTGATCAGATTTTTAATTCTTGGAGGATTGTAGAATTTTTCCAAAAAAAAAGTACGAAAGTACGAATAAAATAATTAAGTTCATATTGAACAATTTACGCAAGTTTTTATTGTATTTATTTTGTTTCGTTAAATCAGTTTTCAACGTTACCTACAACAACGTTTCTAAATTCATCAACAACAAATTCAGAAAAAGGATCACCGGCATCGACGTCCAAAACTTTTCCCTTTTCTTCATCATTTTTATTTAATGGTATAACTAATTTCTGAGCATGTAACATCATACGCCAAGTATCGGTATAATTCATAATTTGTCTCTCATAATGCCAATCACCTACAATAGGATGATTTAAGAATTGACAATGTAATCTTAGTTGGTGTCTTCTACCTGTAATAGGATGAAGACCAACTAACGTTACTCGTATATTTTGAATTGAAGGTGATTGTGTTGGCGTTGTTGATGGAGATGATGGCAACGAGCAATTATGTTTATCATGAAAATATCCTCGACGGAGGACTTTTATTTCTGTTTTTGCAGACTTTCATAATGCGAAAAACATTAGAATATGAAACGATCTTAAATTGAAATAAGAAAGGAATATTGATATAACACCTTTCCTGGATTATCTTCTGTACCTATACACATTCGATATCTATTATTTGGTACTTCTGCAATAGGTTGTTCAACTACATAACTTTATAATACATATCTATTTTTTTAACGTGCGTTTTCCCGTCATTCACCAAAAAAAAAAAAAAAAATTATAGAACTCACCAATCATTTCTCAACCAGCCTCTAACAATGGCCAAATAATATTTATCAACTCTACGTTTAGCGAAAGCAACACTCGCTATTCCAGCAGATTTTTTTGTTAATGCCAAACAGTAACAACCTGATGTTGAATGATCAAGTTGATGTACATTTCTTAATGGTTTTGGTAAATTTGGAATTTGATTATAAAGAAGTGATAAAACTATTAAGAAAATGATAAATTATTCTTAGAAAAATATCTATATAAATGTTGTTAATATGATGTTGATTACCTGTATGTCCTTTCGATGTATCACCATCTATTCTAACATCATAGCTTATAGACAAGAAGGAATATATTAATCAATTTCAATTTCAAAATTAAAATCAAGATAATCTTTTGTTATATTTTACTTACGGTTTATCGATAACCAAGAATTCATCATTATGTAATAGTATTTTGATTTCTGGCATGATTTCACTAACACCATTATTAAATCTTTGAGATTGTTCACGTTTATCCATTGGAAAGAATTACAAAAATTTATCAACAAGCAAATTTAACCCTTTTTTTTTACTTCAAAATGATCTTCATCTGATATTATTATTAACACATATATATAAATAATTGATTATTATCTTTTACAAGACTTTATTACTTCAAAAAAAATCTAATATCACCATTTTTTTATTATTTGTATTGTATATATATTAACTATTTGATTGATAATATTGTTTTCACATTATTATCTACAAAGATGTTAATTAAAAATGTTTGATTTGGTTAGGATTTTCAAGAAAAACGTCAATGTTTTTATAATAAGATTAATGGAAAAATCAGGTGAACAAAAATCAGTTGAAAAGAACATAGATAACTGTAGATAATTTATTAGAACATGCAAAAGAATTATTTTTGAATGTTATTTATTTTATTTAGTGATTTATATGATTTATTACCTTTTAGTTATTTCTAATTACATAATTATAACCATATTTTTCTACTATTTACAAATTTTTAATGTGACGGACATTATCAAAATTCACGATTTTGATTGGTCGATCAATGTTATCATCTCCTTACTAGATTAGGAAATTTGTGTAACTAGAGTGCTATAAGAAATATGCAAACGTCACGCGCTTGAACATTTCTTTATATTTTGATTCTCACACTTTCAAAACAGCTCTTCAAAGTCATTTTTTTTTTTATACTTAAATCTACACTTAATCACTCCTATAACTTGTTCGTTCTAACCGAAATGGTTATCGATAAACCCCAAAGCGTTTCTATAACTTCAACTATTGCCAAAGACACTAACGTTTCTATCCACGCTACGAGTTGTTCTTTAAATACTCCTATTATCCCGTCTACTTCTACCTCAATAAAAAGGCCAAGAAAGACAAGTCAGAAAAAAAAAAAAAATAACAAATCAGAACAACTTGAAGTTTTAGTAAATGGGATCCCCATTTACGAATTTTTTTCTGATGAATGTAAGTTTACAATAAAGTGTTTAAATATTTTTATTTAAGAAAAACTAAACCAACAAAAAATTTAGACGAACGGAAAAAAATTAAAAACTTCGGAGGAATCCAACGAATCCAACGAAACCAACGAAACCAATGAAACCAACGAAACCAACGAACCCAGAAACCCAAAGAACTAAAGAACCCATGAAGATTACTAAGGAATGGGTTGTGAAATAGTTGATGAAACCAACGTTTCGAAAAAAAATAAAAAATCATGGTAAAAATGTATTTGACGAGAAGGAATAATAATGTTCAATTATTTTTCATGTATTGTATATACAATTCGAATAGTATTTTTTTTTACTATATTTAGTTTTTTTATCATGTATGTTTTAAAAATTAATAAAATCATCAAAGATTAAATGGAGCTTCGTCAATAGAAACACATCTTACTTAATAATTTATTATGTTAGAAATGTGTTTCTATTGACGAAGCCCCAAATGACCTTTAATTCTTAAATTTAAATTTTTTTTTTTTGAACATTAAATATTTTTAAAATAAATGTATATCAAAGATCTCAGAACAAAATTATCAGTCAAAGATAACACTTAAGATCCAAATGGAGGACAAAAAAATATTAAAAAACACCGCAGGTTGGATCTCAACTCGATGCGATCCTCTATAAGATGTAGAAAGTTAAAATAAGAATTATATCTATTGAAACATCAAGCATCACCTTAAATAAAAGCTACTTAATAGAGGCAATCTTCAAGGCTGACGAGTAATTTTTAAGCACATATTTTACTATAAAGGCCTCTTGCTATCTTTCCTCGTACCCTACATAAAATGACAAAATTTTTGTCGTTCAATTGAATTGAATTCTAGTTTTTCTTAACAATGTTTCTATACGTTATGCAAATCTGATAAGTAAAAACCGCGAGGAATTGTGTACAAAAATAACATTATACTCGAGAGAAACTTCCCTGGTTCAGATTTGTATTATTTAGAATAACTTTATATGAGGATTAAATCTCGTTTTTTGGGAATTTTAATTTAATTGGCTGATAATTTGTGCAACAATTAAATTTATCCGTAATAAGTTTGTTGTACGAAAAATAGTCTTTAACAACTTGAAGCGAATTAATTTACTGACGTACCCGTTCTCAAATATTCCACGCGTCGAAATGTCAGGCCCATTATCCTCTACAGAAAATAAATCTGAAACACCAGTTCAAACTGTGGAATTTGATAAACATACGATTATACATAAACGCTCTTTACCTAAGGAAATAAACGAAGTGACTCAAAGCAATGGTGGGTTGAGCCTTTTCTGTCCGACTAATTTTGCCGCGTCATTTTTTAAGACATACTTGTTAGTTTGTTCGATAAGTCAGAGAAACTTTATTTTGTTCATAACTTGAGTTTTTATTAGAGATATTCGACGTTGTACTTAACTGGAGTACTGAACATGCAGCATTGGTAACTCAGACTCATTGTTTTGTATGGAATTATAGCGGTGTCGATAAGGTAAGTGAGAGAGAGCCAATTGATTTATTTAATCCGATTCAAGGGAATATACGTATTTCATCTTTATTTTTTAGCAACCTTTCGATACCGATACTCCTGTATACAAATTTAAAATGCCCATTTGTGATGATGATGAATTTTTGGATGATTTAAGTAATCATTATAAATTACCATTGATATGCATTATACCATCTAATCAAAGCCAAAGACCTGGGTTACTTGTTTGTTCCCGCAAAGGTGAATTCCGATATTGGGAAGACATAACACGAGATAGTATATTTCAAGATCATTATTTAAGTCTGAAGGTATATCTTAGAGAAGAAGATTTTGGAACGCACTTGGCTTGTCATGAGGTACGAGATTTTTTTTTTTCATTCTTTCCTTGAATAAGTTTATATGTTAACCTCTCTTTTAATAGACTCATCAGTCTTCACAAGATACGTGTATTATAATTTTCGGTTCCTTACAATCTGTATTATATCGTATTAATATCTCCAAAATGGGAGCAAGTACTACACTTCATTCTACTTCATTATCACGCTCTGTGGGAATTATGGAAAACTTTAGCTCATACCTTTGGTTAAGCAGTAAATATGATACAGGAAACATTATCACTTCAACGTTAGGAAATAGGCTTGAAAATAATTTGCTTAGGTTAGTTTATAATTGATATATTAACTATCACTAATCGAATTTTCTAAGCTATTTTTTTTTTTTGATTCTAGTGAAGTTTATGTGCTAATGGACAAATCAATAGAGAGATGGGTTTTTGGAAATGTCCGTTCGGCAAATAAGGTTAACAATATTTACAATTTATCTGTTAATAGCTAATGTTTGTTTTAATCAAATTTAACATATCTTTATTTTAATATAAGTATGTGCAAGGACAAGATATATATAATAATATCATCCAAGAAATTTATCGGAATGATGGTAGAGTAAAAGAGACTGATCAAATGGACTTAAGATTACTGGACATTGAATTTGCATGGTATAAGTGACACTTATATTTATAAACAAATATAAAAATAAAATATAAAAAATTGAGATTTAAAGATCAATTCATTTAAATAAAATAGGAATAGCAAATTGGTTATCCTTGTTTCTTACTCTTTTGGGTCGAATCAAAATGAGATCGT